AGAATTCCCCAGCCAGCCAGGCTGGCTGGGGAATTCTGGCAGTTGAAGTCCACCCATCTTCAAGTGACCAAGGTTGAGAAACACTGCATGATTAGCCTGATAAAGAATTTAGGGGACCCTGGAAGCTTGCAATCTCTTGTAGCATTTGGCTTGATCTTAAAAAAAATTGTGTTCAAGTGTGAGAAGGACTTTTGCTCTTCCTCCCTCTCTCTTATGGTCCAGGGTTCTTCAGTCTGTGTTTGGAGGCCTCCCCTCATCCATTTAAAGACAGGACTCATACAAGCTGAGGCAGATGCCACCAGACCTGCTGTTAGGGTTGTCGCCAGAGGAGTGACAATGATGACTTCAGTGAGGAATCAGCTTAAGGCTGTTTGTCACTTCAGTTAAACATAACTACATTATTTTGTTTTTGACCCAGCTTCACCCACTTCCTTTTCCCCTACTGTTTGCAGTGTAAAGTGGGGTGTGCCATTCTGATCCAAGGGGGGCTCTTTCACTGCCCCAAAATTGCTTGGGCATTCTTGTCCCTCAAATTGTTTGAAGTCCTTCCCCCCATCAAAAATGGCTGCATGTTTGGTGCACTCCAGTTGCTGTGGTTGAAGCCAACAGCCTTGGATTCAATGGTAGAATCTAACTATTAATTCTTTTCCTACGTGACACACTCCTACCGGATGCTGCTGACTAAATTCCCCAACAGTTTATCAACTTCCCAGCTCCCCAGCCCTTCTATGAATCTTGGGATTTTGCAAATTCTTTATTTCCAGCTAGGGGTAATATATGGGGCTATAATAACAATGCAGACATCACAAACTGACATTATAAATGATGCTACAGGTATAGTTACTATTTTTCAGGAGCTTAATCACCACCTTTAAACACTGCCGTGAGGTGGAAGAATGAAAACTGTGATCAGTCTTCAAGAAGGTGAGAAAAGTCATCTGAGTAATGGATTTCTTTGGGTTAGAATTAAGGGTTAGTAGGTTGGTGTAGTGGTCAAAATGTTAGACTGGCATCGAGGGGACCCAAGTCAGGTCTCACCATCTAATGTGAAACCCTCACCTCAAAATGTAATATGTGAACCAAGACTGTATTTCCAGGTGTTTTTATACCAAAAAAAGTTCAAGTGGGTGGAAATGATTTCTTGTTGACATCATCATGAAGTATAGAGTGATTCCCTTTTCTGTATATAATGGGAAAAAATACATTTACATCCAGATGTTGTCCCAACCTGTATACGATTCCCTTTGTGAATGGAAAAACCACCCTGCTTTATATGGCCATAGACATTCTGGCTGGTAGATTCATGCATCACACTAAGCTATGGTTCACTTAACCACACCTTGCAGAATCAACCACAATTGGCTGGGTCTGCATAACACCCTACACCACAAACCAAGTTTCCAAATGACTGGGTGTTCATAAGACTACTTGGAACCACAATTGGTCCAGAGAGCAATGGCCCAGCTTCTGACTGGCACCCACCATCAACAACATATCACTGTACTTTGGTGGGCATGCCATTTAAATTTCAACGACAGCCATATGGAGAAGGAGCCAACAAAACCATTAGACATCTTTTATTCTGTTCATTTTATGCTGACAAATGCCACAAGTTGTTAACTCTACATTTAAACAAATTCCCTGGTGGTTCTGATCAGTTTTATTTACAACTCTTACTTTCAGACTCAAGTGATTCTATTCTATCATGTGATATGTAAGACACGCATCAGTTTGATTTAGATGCTTACCTAATTAATTAACCAGTATTCGATTTATGTACACCGTGTGTTTTATGGACTGGTCAATGACCATAATAAATAATCTACTTTACGTGCTCTATTTTGGGCCCTCCAGGACTGCTGGCTTTAACCTACATGTCTCCAGGACTGTATTATCCAGCCAGAATTGTCCCAACCTACAAGATCATCTCAGCAGAAAATTCTGCTGACCCCCATTTCCAAAAAGTCTCAGGGACTATTGCCAGGGAACACTGTTCTTCCACTGCATGCCAACTCTCTGGAACAGCCTCCTTGGATCCCTGGTTGGTCCCCTCCTGGACAACATTCAGGAAAGAGCTAAACGCGCCGGGTCTTCTGCAGAGCCTTTCCTTAGGGTGGAGATGCCAGCAGCTGCTCCTTGTTGTTTCACACCTTAAATACTTTATTTTTGGACTTACCCTGGATGTTTAATTTGTTTTGAGTTCAGTTAAAGGGTATATTTTATTGTTCCTTTGTATGGATAGCTTATGCTTTTGCTGTGAAGAACTGTGAGTCAGTTTGTTAAAACTGGAGAGGGAGGGAGGGAGGGAGATGGAGAAGGAAGGAAGAGTGGGAGGAAGGGAGGAAGGGAGGAAGGAAGGAAGGAAGGAAGGAAGGAAGGAAGGAAGGAAG